TTGTGTTATTGATATAGGCGGTGGAGAGTCACTAACACGGGCTAAGTTAGTTTGAGGTACTTCAGTATCACTGGGTGTCTAGAAGGAGGTCAAGACAATGGTTGTGTTTCTGAATATATTATCTCATCAATGAGGAAAACTTGAGAAGAGGGAGTAGAGAAGGAATTGAGGGAATGGGTAGCTACTAAACTAGAGTAGTAGTAGAGTGTGGATCCTAAGGGGAAGAACTGGATGGTGTCATGGGAGGCTCATCTGATAGGATTGGAGTATACTCTAGTGATGAATGTTTATTGAAGTGACTTGTACAGTAAGAGACACATGGTTTTTGAAAGGAAAGGTAGACTTATGAAAGTATTATGAAGTTAGACTCATGGTTTAAGGGTTATAGCATCGAAAAACATTATGCTCAAGAGAGTATCTTATGAAGATGCAAGTTTAGATCTTGATATTATATTATGGGAGACATAGGGATGTAACTATGGATAACATAGACAACTAAATACTTTTAATTTTCGAAGGTTTGGAGGTTTGTGAAATAGTATTTCAAATAGGGACTGATATTGTAGAACTAGAGAAAGCATACAATTAATAAGGTAGACTATAGTTTGAAAGGTTGTTGACCAAAAGGTTGAGGTATTGAGGCCTAATGTAGAAGCATGAGACCAGTTTTAATTATAAGTCGATGTTTGTATTCGGTAGAGCCAACTAGTTAAGGAGTATGTGGGAGTGACTTGAGGTATTGTATACTACAAGTTGAGAGACGGGATGTCAAGGCTTAATATTTACCTCCACTATCAAAGTAAACTATTTTGATTGTAAACTAAAAGTAGTTCTCGACCAACTTTCTAAAGTTGATAAAAATTGTGAAAACTTTAGATTTATAGTGAAGAGGATATAACCATATGTACTTAGTGAAATAATCTATAAAAATGACATAAAATCTGAATTTGTCAAAAGAAATAGTTGGGGCATTTAAATAATTTTAAATAATTTAGAGTAGGATATGAAAGATGTGCCAAAGGGCAGTCTATAACTTTTATTACTAAGACAAGTATCACAATGAGTTATAAAGCTACTTGATTTAAAAATGGAAAGAGAATTGTTGGAAAGAATAGAAGACAAAAAGAATTATTGAAGAAGTTATTTTACATTGAAGCTATTATCCTCCTATTTATACAGATTAAGAGGGAGGATTTCCCTCAACAAAGTAGAGAAATTTCCTCATACAGTTAGGAAAATCTTATCAGAGTAAAGAGATTTACTCATATAGTTAGGGAAATCTTATCCCCTATCGTACCCCCGTAAGATGGTGCTCCTATCAAGGATACCAATCTTGGATCGATACAAAGCAAATAGTTTACGAGCGAGAGGCTTCGTGAGTAGGGCAAGAGCAGATCGTTGTTGTTGCTATGGCTTCGGCTGCTGCGACTATGGCTGCTATGAAAGCTACAGTTGCTGCGAAAGCTGTAGCTATGCTGCAGTGATGCTACAATAGAGGAGGTAACTACAGAAGAGGTGCAACATAGGAGGTAGATACAGCAGAGGAGAAAGCATAAGAGAAAGCTATAGCATAAGAGATAATTGTAGTAGAGGAGGTAGCTACAGTGATGCTACAGTAGAGGAGAAAGCTGCAGTAGAGGTACAGCAGAGGAGGTAGCTACAGCAGAGGAGGAAGCTACAATAGAGGAGGAAGTTGTAATAGGAGAAAGCTGTAGTAGAGGAGGTGGCTGCACTAGGAGGAGGAAGCTGCAACGATGCTGCAACAGAGGAGGAAGTTGCAGTAGGAGGAATCTACAGCGATTTAGTGGAGAAATCTACGGCGATTTGGTAGAGAAATCTATAGCAATTAGCTCTTAGCAGGAGCTGAGAATCGATAGTTGAAAGCGAGGCGATGGACTGCGATTGATGTAGATCACAGCCTGATAAAGATGATGCTACAGCAGCGGACAACCCAAGCTTGGGGTCAGTGCAGGCGATGCCAATAAAGACGAAGGCTGCATGGAGGAGAAGAGGGAAGGAGCGGGTAGGGGTTGAAGAGGGATCCACTATTGAGGGCGAGAAGCCAACCACACTAAAATAGGCCCTCATTGTTATGGCCGCACCTAATGGTGATGCCGGGTGTGGTCACGACAGCGGTTGGGGTAGTAGCGAAGGCGTCACGCGGCGTACAATGTACGACCATACAGCAGACGGACAGGGGAGTCCGACAAGGAAGCGAGTCCAACGGGAAAGAGTTCCCCCCTTTTCTGCTCTACAAAGGCAAGGAATGTGGTGAATGGCAAGCTTCAATGGTCGTGGAGCCTCGCTCATCTCACTTGCTCTAATACCATGTTGGAAAGAATAGAAGACAAAAAGAATTATTGAAGAAGTTGTTTTACATTAAAGATATTTTCCCCCTATTTATACAAATTAAGAGGGAGGATTTTTCTCAACAAGAGATTTCCTTATACAATTAGGGAAATCTTATCAGAGTAGATAGATTTACTCATATAGTTAAGAAAATCTTATCTGCTATCAAGAATAATGAGAAAGTAATTTTTGCTAAATAAGGGACGAGGGATGACTAATACGATGATACCATATATCAATTGGAGTTGCAACCAAAGAATGAACAGTGGGTTGGTTTATTTGTGGAGTTGATGACCATTCGTAAATGTTACCTGACCTTGGACCAAGGATGCCCTCATGCTCAAATATACGATAAGAAAAGAGTCAAGAAAGAATTCAATTGAAGTATTATTGTATTTGCAGAATTAAGAAACGAAAATGAGGTTTCGTTTAATGTGAGGTACACACAAAACATCATCGAGTGTAAAAGTTACGATATGTAAATTAAGCATTATGGAACCAGTATGAGTAATAGAAATTCCTTTACCATCACCGATAATGATATCTTCATTTTCACTATAATTGTTATGGATGGACAAGTTCTAAAGATTAGAGGTGATGTGATGAGAGGTGCTAGAGTCCACAATCCAATTAGGTTGACTAGTAGCCGGAGTAATCATGAGATTCACCTAAGGCCACCATGATGGAGCAGGGAGTTTGGGTCGAGACTGACCTACTTTCATGTAGTGTCTGACTTTATTACACAACTGGCAGATGACTCTTTGTTGACTTGTGAGATTAGGATGCTAGGGCCGATGGTTATTGGAGTTGCCACCTTGATAGAAATATTGATAATATAGATAAAGGAGGGTTTGTTTGGGACCCACAAGGTTAAGAGATATCTTGGACAAACCTTTATTGACATCCTTATTTTACTGGTTGCTCATCTTCTTAAACTTTTGACTGACTTGAGCTATGATGGTTAGTCTGAGCAACTTGTCCTCATGCTTTAAATATGGCTTATAGTCAGTCAACTTGTCATAGAGTCCTTCGAATGACATTGGTGAGTCGTGTGCCCGAATTGCGATTACCAATTCCTTATACTCGTCTCCTAAGCCTTTAAGGCTATGGATTATGACTTCTTCGTCACAGAGGGAATAACTTATCAAAGACGAGTCATCGATGATCTTTTATATTTTATAGATAATCAACAATGGTACTTCCCTCTTATTTTATCTTCATTAGATTGAATAGAAGACTGAGCATGTATGTACGCGAATGATTTGCCAAGGATGTTTATAGCTTGTATCATGCTTCTGTAGTAGTCACATATGAAGATATCAATGGTGTGATAGATCTAGTGATTGACTCTTCTTTTAAGGGATGTATTAGAACCCTTACGGATTCTAAGCTTGGGGTTTATCTCTTTTGGGGATCGGCCTTCTTGGAACTCTATAGGGGTTCCTTCCTCCAAGTTGCTGCTCAAGGCTACTAAGAAATATTCATCTATTGCTTATCAAAAGAGGATGAATACATGATTATTTATAAGGCTTCTAAACACCAACTCCTAGTAAGACTCTTACTCAATTAGGACTCCTACTCAAAACACCTACTTCTAATAAACTCCTAATGCTTCTCTAAGAAGCAACCTCCAAACTAATCCTATCCTTAGCCGGTCTTTTCATGATCTTTAATAGGGGTCGACTAGGTAGGTTTTACATGAATGCCCCTTTCAATTAATCTCAATTAGAACTCTCCTAGCTAGAGTCCTAAGAGGATGATGGCAACATTGTTCCTTGCTTCTCTTTGCACTAAGGGAGAAGAAAGAGGGATGCTGCACTGAGGGGAAGGGGGCACCTTGTGCACAAACGCTGGTTGTCGGTCGTCGAACACTACCTAGGGAGAGGAGAGGAGAAGCAGGAGAAAATCTTCTAGGGGAGGAGCCTGCGGCAATGGAAGTGTATGGCCGCAGTCCACTACAGCGATCACTGAATCTATGAGAGATCTACAGTTCTTGCCACAGATCTGTGAGAGATCTACAGTTCTTGCAGAGGGTATTAAGGCAGATCTATGAGAGATCTGTAGTTCTTGCCAATCTATATTTCTTGTTGTAGATTTGTGAGAGATCTACAGTTCTTGCCGCAGATCTATGAGAGATCACAGCATAGTATTGAGGCTGTGGCTTCAAGTTATCATAATGAGGAGAGTCAGCAGCAACACATGCCACTGGAGGGTTGCTTCTTGGTGTATGTCGGGCCGGAGAGGGAGCGGTTCGTGGTCCGCACAAGTGCGTCGACCACTCACTATTCCGGATGTTGCTCGATGAGACGGAGAAGGAGTTCGGGTACACCATTGCTGGGCTGCTCAAGCTCCCTTGCGGCGTCAAGCTCTTCCAAAGGGTGTTGTGCAAGGTGGAGCAGGACGCGACGGAGCTGCACTTGCCTCGGTGCAACTTCGCCAAAGGCCACGACTATAGCATTGTTGCAGTACAGACTGGGCCCAGCACACACTTGGTAAGGATGGCTGCCCCTGGCAGCGCAACAGTGATAAGGAATCAACGTAATGAGTAAGAAGAAGAGAGCATGGGGAAGAGGTTCTGTTCACCACCGAAGCATGGGCAGCGGCTCCTCAGACAAGCTGCTTATGTCGGATCAAGGGTGAAGTCGGGGAGTCTCACTCACTGCTCTGATACCATGATAAAAGATATATTTTTATGAAGTTTATTGATATATTCTCTTTATTTATATAGGAGAGAGGATTTTTCTTAATAAAGTAGCTAGATTTCCTTCTGTAGTTGAAAATTTTTTATCTACTATCAGTGATATCATTTTGAGCAATGTAGTGCATCAACTAATCAACTCAATAATATTATTATCGTGAAACAATGTTGAGTGCTTTAATGACTTAGCTCGGTTGTTTTCTAAACAATGTTGAATATCAATGGGGCATTGCCAGTTTATTTTTGCTGGATTTGGCTCATTAATATCTGTTCCGGGATACCTGATTCACTATGGATGTGGATTTTGTTATCCTTAAAGGCTGACCGAGAAAAGTCAAATGGTTAGTTTATTGATAAAAATTACTACTGCAAGAAATGTCTAAACAATCATATGACTTCTTTTGCCTGAAACCTTTGTAGATAGTATCAGTGTGGTTGTGCCTGGTCATATATGAGATGTGAACAAAGATATGAGTAGAAGCAGACGGTTTTCTTAGCTATAATTTTCGTGATCTCTACAGTCGTTCTTTAGATCAGACAGCCAAGTTGTAGGTAGTAGTCTATGACTCATACAAGTCAGGTGCTTAACCTTTTTTGTCTCACATTCTTCCTTTAATCTAATGCAGGATCAAGGAGCTGGTAGCCAGTGGTTCATCATCTGATAGCCGCATGTTTGGTGAGCCATCGAAGCTGGAATCTGTTAAACTGCATGACCTTCATCCTGCATCTTGGTATGTTCCGTAATTAATACTCTTATGTGAACTTTATTGAATAGATTTATGGAAGTTTGCTTCTCATGTTATATGCTTATTGCATATACAGTTGTGATTCTCTTTTTTTGTTTTCAGGTACTGACTGCGTCGCGTGGTACCCTATATATCGTATACCTGATGGTAGTTTTCATGCTGCTTTTTTAACGTATCACTCTCTCGGCCATTTTGTTCATCGAAGTTCCCCAGAAAGTGGCCATGGTCTTTCAGAAGATGTAGTTTCTCCAGTTGCAGGTCTGCAGACATACAATCATAAGGTACATCTGCTCCAAGTATTTTTCATAATTTTCACATTGTTCCTTTGACATTTCAGATATATCTGCTATTGAAGCAGTAGGATGGATTAATAACAGGAAGCAGATAAACCAAAAGTTAACATCAGGTTTGAAATTCTTGTATCAGAAAGATACTGATAGCATAGCATAACACATCATCTGGATTATCTTTCTAAATTCTTCTATCTCCATCTGATCTTGAAGATAAGTAAAACAAGTGGTAGATGCTTCCAAAAAGCTGGGAGCTTGACAGCGAGATATAGACAATGCAGTTGACGAAGGCTAGATTTTATGTTGTGAATGACTTTCCTCATTCTTCATACATAAAGACTATGGCATTTAATATATAACCAACATGCCTCTACTTCTTTTGGAGGATTTATGAAATCTCAGATGTTCCCTGTCCTAGCTAGTAGTTGTCCTGGTCATGTCAGTCTCCTCTGTTGGCAGAGATCTCTTGTCGGTAGGTAACCCGGGATTGTGATGAGCATGTAGATAGCTTGAGTTCCACTGATTTATCATGCTTATGCCACTTGCTCCATAGACCTTGCATTTGACAATGGTAAGATGACTTCAACACTATAATTAACATACTCGAGGCATCAAAACTCTACAGTAGTGTTGCATGGTTGTAATCATTGGCGTAGTCGTCATGTACGTGGTCACTATAGTTTTGCTTATGTTGCTGTAAAAGAAATTGTTCTCAGCTGGAGATACATGGTCTGAGTGCAGGGAGAGTCTTGGTTTCAACTATGGGACATGAATTCAAAGGTCGTCCAGTCTGAAGATGTCAATCATTCAGATACCTCGGAATTAATAAAGGAGAGGTTGAGGACGCTCAGGCAAACTGCATCTGTGTTGGCCAGGGCAGTAGTTTCCAAGGGCAATCAGAGATATGTGAACCGGCATCCAGACTACAACTTCTTTGTATCACGGAGTGGGTAGAGGGTCCTTGATTAGAAGATTATCATCCCAGCTTCCAGTAATTTTGTGACAATGCTGATGCTAATTGTTATAGGTAACACATAATTTTACTCCTTTTTCTAGTGTTTCCAACCTAGGCAGGATACCAGGCAAAAAGCAACTTCTTGACTTGCTTCTTTTGTTTGTGTGTGTCATCCCTCTGTAATTTACTTTTGACATCGACTCTGTTTATGCTTTGATGGTTTGTGAAACTCAGGATTGTGTCCTAATGTATGTAAGCAGATACAAGGTGAATTATTCAGAGGGAAAATGAGATCTCAGCATTTCAACCTGTTTATATGTTTCTTTTAGATACTACCACATGAAATTAAGTGTGATCTTGCAAAGGTATATATATATATACATACATATATATAAATACATACATATATATAAATACATACATATATATATATATATATATATATATATATATATATATATATATATATATATATATATATATATATATATATATAT